AATAATAATACATTTTTAAAAATTAAAAAAAAAGAAAATTCTGACATCTTTTCTGTATATAGTTTGTTTTTCTTATAACCCTGTAAACATAGGATTTTTCTCTTTATCTTTGTACTATGTTAGTTGTAACATAAACTCTGAAGTCTTAGTGACTTACATAAAATGTGTGGGGTTTTTTTCCTTTATTTCACTATCAGGTGAGTGTGTATACATGTGGGGACATATTTTGTTTCATGCAGGATCAAGCTATTTCAGTCTTGTGGCTTCGTGCTCCCCTAGGTCCTCTATGATCTTTCCATTGAGCTAAGGATGGAGAAAGAGAACAAGGTTTATAAGTAAAAAAAAATTTTTTTGGTCTTTTTTGTCTTTTTGAGACAGGGTCTTCCTGTAGCCCCAGCTGTCCTGGAACTCACTATGTAGACCAGGCTGGCCTTGAACTCACAGAGATCCACCTGCCTCTGTCTCCCGAGTACTGGGATTAAAGGCATGCGCCACCACGTCCTGCATAAATCAAATATTTTTATGAAATATTTTATTTTTATTTTATGTGTATGAATGTGTTGCCTGCATGTATGTGAGTGCACCCATGCCGTGCAGTGCCACAGAGGTCAGAAGAGGGCTTTGGGTTCCCCTGGAACTGGAATTAAGATGGTTTGTATCCACCATGTGGGTGCTGGGAGTTGAACCTGGTCCTCTGCAAGAGCAGTTAGTACTCTTAACCACTGGGCCATCTCTCCAGCCCCTAAATCAAATATTTTTATGAAACAGAGTTGTAAATTAGGGGTATTACTTCTGCTCCTGTTCCCTTAGCCTGGACTTGGTCTTATTGCCATAATTGCTCTGCATTTGCAAGGAAGCTTATAAAGTGTAGTCTAATTGTGTGCTCAGAAGAAGAGAGTGCATGATTTGTGAGCATCAGTAGTTTCTGATCCTCATTGTTCTGAAAATTTACTGTGATGTGACTGCTGTGGGTCACTTTTCATCCATTGTGTTCAGTGCTCAGTGGGCCTTTTCAGTCTTTAACTCAGGTCCTTTGGGTGTGGAATTTTTTTGTTTATGTTTCTTCTTTTACTGCAACTTCTATTATTTAGATACTGGATTTGCTGAACTTTTTTTCCCCCTAAAATCTGTTCTGCCCTATTTTTCATGTTTTCTATTTTCTGGGTAGTTTGCTAAAGCTTTTCTTTGAACCCTTTTTGTTGAGGAAGCTTCCTCTTTTTTCTTCAGTATCAGTATGTTTAGATCTTTGTTCTTGGAATGACTGGATCTTTCAGTCTTTTAAAAAATTATTTTAATTTTATGTGTATGAATGTTTTGTCTGTGTGTATGTAAGTGCACCCTATCATGCAATGCCTGTGGGGGCCAGAAGAGGGCATCAGATCCCCTGGAACTGGAGTTGTGGTTAGTTGTTGGCCTCCACATGGGTGCTGAGAACTGAACCCAGGTCCTCTGCAAGAGCAGCCAGTACTCTTAACCTCTGAGCCATCTCTCCAGCCCAAGGATCTTCCAGTCTTGATGAGTATCTTACTTTCTGTTGCTGTGATTAAAAAAACAAAAAACAAACAAACAAACAAAAAACACTGGCCAAAATCAACTTGGGGAGGAAAGGGTTTATTTTATCTTACATCTCCCAGGTCACACTTCATCACTGAGGGAACCAAAAGCAGGAACTCAGGGCAGGAACCTGGAGCACAGATCATTGAGGAATGCTGCTTACTGGCTTGCTCCCCTGGCCTCAAATTCTTAACTCAAACCATCCTGCTGCTTTCTTCTCCTGGGTAGCTGGGGTTACAGGCGGGTACCACTAACCACTGATCCAGACTAGCAAAATTTATTATGTGGGTGGATAGATCCATCTATGAAAAGCCAAGGGATAACTGTATAGTTTTATTCTTTCAAATGATTGCTGACGGCTTTAACAAATAAGATTATTTATTGTAGTTTGGCATTGTGGAGTGTGCGTATAATCCCAGTACTTGGAAGGTTGAGACAGAATGATTGTGAACTCAAGGCTAGCCTAAGCTACATATCAAGACCCTGTCTCAAAAAAAATTATTTACTGCAATGTTTCCCAAAATGTGTACGGTAGGGTATTTGTATTAGAGTTATGAGAAAGGGGTTAATGTAGTCATCTACATTTGGAAAATACAGGTTAAAATAAAATGGATTTCTTTTTTTTTTGGTCTTTTTGAGACGGGGTCTCCCTGTAGCCCCAGCTGTCCTGGAACTCACTATGTAGACCAGGCTGACCTTGAACTCACAGAGATCTGCCTGCCTCTGCCTCCCGAGTGCTGGGATTAAAGGTGTGCACCAGCCTGGCCTAAAATGGATTTATTTCAGATCTCAGGACCTTTAATTTGTCATTGTGGACTGGGAAACAATCATATTTGGAAAATCTGTATGTTACAGCACTCCCTCCCTTTTACTGTCTTCTGTCCTCTGTATAGAGAATTTGAGGGGTAATGTAAAAATAGTATTTAAAGAAACTCTACTCTTCTTGTACTTGCCCCTAAAGGAGGGACTTTGTTCTTTCCCTCTAGACACAGTACAGGCTGGACAGGGTGTGGAGCAGGTGGAGTTCTTGTTCTTTCTGAGCACATTCCTCAGAAATGACCAGATTTCAACAATCATTGATGTGTACTTACTAAAACTAAGAAAGGATAGGCAACCATGGTGGCTTATATGTGTAATCTCACCACTTGGGAGGCTGAGACAGGATGATTTCCATGAGGGTTTTTTTTTTTTTTTTTTTTTTTTTTTTTTTTTTTTTTTTTATAAAATATCTGAGACAGCATCTCCTTGTAGCCATAGCTGACCTGGATTCACTATGTAGACCAAGCTCTCCTTGAACTCACAGAGATCCACCTGCCTGTGCCTCCCGAGTGTTAGGATTAGGGGAATGTGCCACCACACTCAGTGATTTTCATGAGTTCTAGACCAATGTGAGCTACATAGTGAGGTCTAGGTCGTCCTGGGCTACCAAGTGAAACCCTATTTCCAGCAAACAAACCGATATACAAAAAACAACCAGCCAGCAAAAATAATAAAGGATATTAAAGAAAACAATGTGACTTCCAGAGGATCCAGGTTCAGTTTCAGTATCCACATCATGGTTCACAGCCATCTGTAACTCCAGTTCAGGGGATCTGGTGCCCTCTTCTGGCTTCTGCAGGCATGAGGCACACATGTGGTACACATACATACATGCAGGCATTCACATATGTACATTAAAAAATAAAAGGCTGTCTTTTGTTAAAAGTTCTATGCTACTTGGGCCTTTTGCTACATCTGTCATTTGTCAAGAATCATCTAACATCTGGAAATCTAGAGTATTACTCTCCAACACAAACTTTTCTGATTGTGGAAATATGTGTCTGTGCTATTTAATATACTCACCATAGCCACTCATGGCTGCTGACTGCATGGCTGAGGAATTCCACTTTAGCTAAATGTAAATGGCTGCTTGCTACTGTATTGGGCAGCATGCATTTGTCCTCTCTCTAGTTCTTGGTGTCCTTTCTGTGTCTTCAGAATACACAGTCTTTGTGATGTAGACACATGGCAGTCATTCTTAACTATGGGGGTCACATCTCTCTAGGGAAGGACATATCCAGGTTGGAAAAGAAAAGGGCCCCCAAATAGCTCTCACCTTTCCCCTCTTAAACACCTGCTTCCTTCTTCACCCTCTAAGTCCTGCTTTGATATTTAGAAATCTAGGTACAAAGCTTCCTTCCTGATTGTCTGGTAAAATGTCTTCTGTTTCAGAGTAAAATTGACTCAAAGAAGGGCCAACATTTTGATTGACTCTTACACTGAAACATGAGGTACTTGCCTCATATACTCTGATGTTTAGCAGCAGTTTGCAGTTTTCCCCTAGTTCTGTTCCTTCAAGTCCAGTAGCATCTGAAGGAGAAGGCCTGGTGTTGGTTAAGGGTGCTGAAAAGAAGTTATTCTGCCCCCCAAAGAGCCATTGTACCTTATAGAACTTCTTTTGTCCTTTAATTTTTTTTCTTTTTTTTTTTTTTTTGAGACAGGGTCTCTGTGAAGCCCCAGCTGGCCTAGAACTTAGTATGTACACCAGGCTGGCCTTGAACTCAACAGAGATCCACTTGCCTTTGCCTCCCAAGTGCTGGGACTGCAGGCATGCACCACCACTCCAGACATCCTTTCATTTTTTAATGAACTCACTAACAAGGTCTCCTTTTAACTTTCTGTATCTAAAAGCAATATTTTGCTGGGCACTAATGGTGCATGTCTTTAATGCCAGCCCTTGGGAGGTAGAAGCAGGTGGATTTTTGTGAGATCAAGGCCAGCCTGGTCCAGGCCAACTGGGGCTACAGGGAGACCCTGACTCAAAAATAAATAAAATAAGTGCAACATTTTCAGACTCATTAAATTTTTAAAAATAAGCCGGGTGTGGTAGCGCACGCCTGTAGTCCCAGCACTTGGAAGGCAGAGGCAGGTGGATCTCAGTGAGTTCAAGGCCAGCCTGGTCTACATAATGAGTTCCAGGACAGCTGGGACTACAGGGAGACCCTGTCTCAAAAAGACCAAAAAAAAAATCCATTTAATTGTCTTACTTATGATATTTGTTTTCTTTTTTTCAGTTGCTTCTGTAGGAAGTGTTTATGGTGGCTTTGTCCTCAAGAAATTCCTACAAGGTAAAGAATTACTTAACTTCCATGAGACTAAATCTCTTTTTGGCAATGAACTTGGTATTTTCTGAAATAGATTATACTGGAAGATAGAGTTCCTGGGTTTAGCGAATAGAAATATAGGGGCTGGTCTGAAGGTCATGAGTTATCTCAATTATTTACAAATTGAATTCCTTGTTCTACACTTTCTCCCCTTCTCACTAATGCACTTGACCAGCCTTTTAAAATTTATTAGCCAGGCGTGGTGGTGCACACCTTTAATCCCAGCACTCGGGAGGCAGAGGCAGGTGGATCTCTGTGAGTTCAAGGCCAGCCTGGTCTACATAGTGAGTTCCAGGACAGCTGGGGCTACAGGGAGACCCTGTCTCAAAAAGACCA